AAAATTGGAACAGCTCTGTTATGTCATTAGGGACTTGCCTACAAAAATTTTTATCGTTTGGAGTTGATTTGATATAGTTCGGACGCTTGATTGCAATTCTAGAAGTTCTTCAAGTTCATAGTAATTTTCATGCATTTTGGGATCCGATTCATGGGTCTAGAGGTTATTTTGGTGTTCCAATCGCGCATGTGAGTTTGTGTTATTTATTCAGACTTGTGCGGGCGCTTGGTTTGGAGTCCCGAGGGCTCGGGTGGGTTTCAGAGTTATCTCGGAAGAGCTCTCATGAATTTTGATTTTCTGGTTCTCGTTTCTTCGCATTTGCGATATTTTGGTCGCAAATGCGGCCACTGCATTTGCGAAGAACCATCGCATTTGCGATGCCTGTGCGGCTGGACATTTCTCATATTTGCGATGAGGCTGCCGCATTTGCGAAAGCCGACCTTCGCATTTGCGAAGTTTCTGTCGCAAATGCGACCTTAGCAGGGTAAGTCCAGACTTCGCATTTGCGAAGCTTTCTTCGCTTTTGCGAGTTCGCATTTGCGAATCCAATGTCGCAAATGCGACATCTGCATCCTGCTAAAAGCTGAGTATTCCAAGTTTTTGCTCATTTTTCATATTCTTTGAACCCTAACTCCGAGAGTGGGTGATTTTGAAAGAAGATTTTCATACCAAATCATTGGGTAAGTATCTCTAATCAATTTCCAACTATATTTTGTGATTGTATCTTAGATTTAACATCAAATTCATGAGAATCTAAAGGAAAATTTGGGGAAAATTGTGAAATCTTTCAAAAATATAAAATGATAATTTGAGGGACCAAATGGTGTCGGAATTAGATAATTTTCATATGTTTGATCTCGTATCAGAATGGGTATTCAGTTTAGTAAGTTTTGTCGGGTTCCGAGGTGCGAGCTCGGGGAGTTGACTTTTGTTGACTATTTACAAATTGTGTAAGAATCATAGTTTTGTTAATTGAAATTATTTTCTCTTGCATTGTTTGATGTATTCCAGTCGTTTTTGGCTATATTGACCCGTGCGTTGATGAATTGGTAAAGGAAAAGCTAAATTGAGTATTGAATTGGCCGGATTAAGGTAAGTATCTTGCCTAACCTTATGTGGGGGACTTCCCCTTAGGATTTGAGTTTCTATACTAATTGTAGTCTGTGCACGCGAGGTGACGAGTGTGTGCTCGGACTTATTTGTGGGAAATTTGCCTTTAGAGTTCCTAGGTCCTTATGTTCATTAAGTGAGAAGTTTTCCGATATGATTGGGTTTCCTAATTTCTTGTTTTACCTCTATATGCTCCATACGATGTTGTTAGCTTTCCTCTAACTCTTACTGGTTACTTGAACCTTATTTGCCTTAATTAAAGTGATTGTTCTCCTTATTGTTTTGTTATCTCTTAATTCTGAATTTCTCTATGACCCCTTACATATATGCTATGTGTCCAAATTGTTGTGGTTGTCAGTGTAATTATCACATGCTTATTATGTCTTATGGTTTTGTTAAGATTGTTGTGCTTCTTGGTTTTTCCGTGATTCTCTTGTTGTCGTGTACACTTGGTGGTAGAAATCCTTGAGATTGGGTTGTTGAGTTGATATTGGTGTTGATTTTAAACTAATCTGGTTGTTGATATGTTGAGGAGGAATAAGGGAGAATTGATGTTGTCTGGTGGGATCGGGTTGCACGCCGCCACAAGGAGTAATAAGGGTAGACATATGGGATCGGGTTGCACGCCGCAACAAGAGGAATAAGGGTGATATATATATATATATTGAAGAGTAATAAGGGTGGACTGGTGGGATCGGGTTGGACGCCACAACAAGGACTAATAAGGGTGAATGATCATGTTGTTACTAATATGGTTATATANTTGGACGCCGCAATAAATATATATACTATTTACTTTTATTGTAATTGATACAGAGGAATAAGGGAAGATTGGTGGGATCGGGATGTACAAGTTAGTTGGTGGTTTTATATTTCATTTAGGATTTAATTATAGCTGAATACTGTGAAGACCCTAGTTCATTTGTTTAAGACTTTGATAATTTGTATTTCGGGTTCACTGAGGATCGGATTATTGGCATTGAGTTGTTGACTTGTCGTTGTTCCTTGAATTCTTTCCCTGAAAGGTGAATTAATTTTTAATGTAAATTTACTACGTTGACTCATTTCCTCCTGTCCTGTTAAGTTATTAGTAATAACATGATTTAAAATAAAAAATTAGTATTACACTGCTATATATGACTTTTAAATTTGAACTCGCCGTGTATATATACACATTTCAATAATTCAAATTTCTATAAATTTTATGTTTTACTCCAAATAGTTTCTCAATTAAATTTTCTTAACCCGAAGATATTAAATCTTACTTTAAAAGGAATTTCTACTAAGTTTTAATTTATTTAAATCCTATAGTAAATATAACAATTCATTCGATGTTGTATTTTATTTGAAAGGGGTATTTTCGTTATTCAAATGATTTCTAAAAATAACTTCATCTTTTCTTGCTGATTTCTTAATTAGTTTAGAAACTGTAATCTACCTTATGTTGTATAAAGGAGGCTCCTTAGATATCTTGATTGCATTCGTTACGAGCATTACCTATTGGGTAGCACGAGGATGTTGTTGTGAAAAGTGAGATTAAAATATGTGGGCACAAGGTGCCATGTGTGCTAAAGGTTTTGGAAATTGAGGTTATGATATGAGACATCGAGGATTTGGAATTGTGTATCAGAAATGATGTGATTGATTGAGTTACCATTGCCTTCTTTATTCGACACATTTTTAATTGTCTGTGTCCCAGCTGTGTTGGTGTTAATCTACTTGGTTATCTTTCATTTTCATCCGTGTTTCCCTTTATTGTTTCTACTGTTTGTAGTTTGATTTCTCCCTACTGTTGATATTACTTTGTTATCTTTATATTGATATTTTATTATCACATCCTGTTCAATTCATTTGACCAGTAGGTGTCTTGACTGTTCCTCGTCACTACCCTATCTAGGTTAGTCTTAATACTTACTGGGCACCGCCGTGATATGCTCATACTACACTTTTGTACATTTGTTTCGTACAGATCCAGATATTTGATCAGTAGTAGCTATACGGATCGTCGCGGTGGGGATTCAAGGTAAACTTGTTGCTGCATTCGCAGGCCTCGGAGTCACCTTCATTTGTACTTATTTCCATTTGTTCCTTTTTTTCTAAAACCGTGACGTATTTATTTTGTATAACTACTCTTAGAAAGGCTTATGACTTGTACCCGATTTTGGGAATTTTAATTGTTCAAAATTATATAAAATTTGAAGTTAGTGAATATAAATGTTATTTCAGTTAATGTTAGGCTTACCTAGCTTAAAGACTAGGTGCCATGACTCCTTCGGAGGGACTTTGGGTCGTGACACACAAGTTCACCAACACAAACTACATGGATAGCAATTAATTTAAAGGGGAAATGGCCAAAATTGTACCCCTACTATTGAAAATTATCCACGTTAATACCCCGTTCTACTTTCCGGCTAAAATAATACCTGCCGCTATTAAAGTAGGAGTATTTGTACCTAAATCTAACGGATCTCCTATGTGGCAACTGGGTCCCCCATAATAATGTGCCAACCAGTCAATATATTGCCAACTAGACTTTTTTAACCCGCCCCATGTAATAACCCGCCCTATTTTATAATAATTCCCCCTAAAAACAATACCAGTCGAATAAAAATAGGGTTTCTTATCCTTTGCTCGACTTTATCCTCTCTCATCTTCATCAATGTCGCAGAGCAGTACTTCTTCTCAGAGAAGGTGTCGATGTGGTATTACTGCCAACCATTTCACATCAACCACTCCCTCTAACCCCAGTAGGAAATTTTACAAATGTGCACGCCCTAAGGTAAGGTGTCGATATGAATTTGTCTAATCTCTATAATCTTTCTAGCTGGTTTGATTTGAAAAAAAATTGAATCTTTTAAATGTTTCTTTGGCAGAATAATTCATGTGGTTATTTTGAATGGGAAGATGAAATATCCACGGATGGTTCCCAGCTTGAAATAAGAGACCTGAAGTCGTCTTTGAATGTCGTTACGATTGAAAGAGACAAGTGAGAGAAAAATTAATTGACATGGAAGCCATGAACAAACTTGAAATGCTAAATTCAAAAAATTGGAAGAAAGAGTTGTACAACTAATGATGGTGATAATTGGGTCTTGGGCAAATTTGTTGAATTCTTTGCTGCCTGGATAGTGAAGTAGAATTCATTATGGTTCTTCCTAGTTTAGTTGATTGTTTAGTTAATTATTATTGTGTAGTCAATTGACATGTATTGTTTAGTTTGGTAGGGAACTTGTTAACAATGCTTGTGTACTCAATTGACATGTATCATTGTGTAGTCAATTGACATATATCTGTTTAGCTGATGTATTTTGTGGTTTTTGGACTGAACTAGTCAATTTAATTTTCTGTTTTCTGTGGGATCATATTACCTCAAAGTGTTCGACCAAATTTACAATTATTTTAACATGACTAAAACTGGTGGTAAGAAATTCAGAAATTTGAGACATGTCCATGACTTAATTCTCATGACTAAAACTCAAAATTTAACACAGCAGCAGGTTAGTAACATTGATATATAACTGTTACCAACATTGATACCAACTGCCATAATAACACCAACAAACAATAAACACTGTTTTAATTACATCAACCACCAAAACACCAGCAGGTTACTAACATTGACAGTAAACTAATAACACCAACTATTTTAATTACATCAACCACCAAAACACCAGCAGGTTACTAACATTGACAGTAAACTAATAACACCAACTATTTTAATTACATCAACCACCAAAAAAGAGATGCAACCGGAAAAAAATGTAATGTCATAGCAGTAATTACGTCAACCAGCAAAGGATAATAATAGTACTGTCATAGCAATAATTACAAGTCTTCTAAACTTCAATTCACAAAAACTTCTACTACACAAAAAAGTTGTCCACCTATAGTTCAAGTGACATTAGTTTTGTGACTTACCATTACCCTTTTTTGTTACAGCTTTCTTTCTCACACCAGATGAGTCACCAACAAAATTGATTGTCCTTCTTATAGCCGGTATGGTTCCTTGCTGTCTCATAAGTAGTCTTGTCCTTTTTTCAGAGAAACTCCTTGGCCTAATTTTTGGGACAGAATCTGATTCAAAATCAGGAAACTCAAAATTTGGAGGCATAGTGTTGTTGGGAGGTTTCCTTTGGACTGATGGAGTTGGCATAAACTGAAACTTTGAGGCTTGTACTGGATGACTTGACTGACTTGCTTGACTGAATAGTGGTGCTGAAAGATCTATGTCATCCTCAGCTGGTATATTTCAGCAAGTGGGGACATGGGTTATTCATAATTACTGTCTTGAGTTGCTAAACATCTTTGCCTCTTTGCTTGCTTTCCCTTAGAATTCTATTTAACAAATAGGTAAGATTAAATAGGTAACAAATAGGTAAATAGAATTCTGTCACCATCTTCACTCACTTCATATCCTTCTTGACCATTGGAATGAACATGACACTTGTTTGCAATTTCAAGTATTGGTTATACAGTTGCATTATTTGGGGACTGAATTCATTACTCCATGACATCATATCAGATTCATGTTCCCTTAGCAAGTTCATAACCTTTACTCTAATATCCTCAAGCATCTTGATAATTGGCTTGAATCTTGCTTCCTTGATCCATGAATTGAATGACACAGTTAGGTTGTTGTCCACTGAGTAGTTCTTGCAAACAGTGTCAAAGTATGCTCTACTCCAACTTTCAGGTGGGTACTTCATCAAATGTTCAACAGCCTCTTTTCCATCTTTATCTACTTGTGCCATATTTCTTAATTGGTCTTTAAAATCTTCCTCAAATGTGCTCCATGCAGCCCACCATAAGTACTTCTTATATTCCCCATGTCCCCATTTTTTCCACCAATTTACCTCTATGTGTCTTACACAATATCGATGGTGTGCTTCAGGAAGAACCAAGTGGACTGAATCAATCAAATCCTTAAAATGGAAAAATAGTAAAGAAATTCATCAGTAACTAAATGTAAAAGTAAACTAAATGCAACAGTTATGAGTTATGAATCATAACACTAACTGAAAAAAGTAAAATAAATGCAACAGTAGACCAATCTCAAGTTAGCTAAAAGCAAACAGTTATGAGTTATGAATCAATAAACTAAATGAAACAATATACTAATGCAATAGACCAATGCAACAGTAGACCAACAATGCAACAGTCAAGAGCAACAGTGAGATGCAACAATGCAGCAGTAAACAGTAAACTTAGGAATTGAAAGGCTCATACCTTTTGCATATCTGAAATAAATGTGATCCCTTCTCCCATTTTGAGGTCCAATGAAAGTTGTAGCAGCCTTAAGAACCAACTCCATTTCACTTTGGTCTCTTTATCAACAACAGACCAAGCTAAGGGATAAAAGTGCCTCATGGAGTCTTGAGCAACAACTACTAGTAATTGACCCTTGCATTTTCCTTTCAAAAAGGTTCCATCCAAGCCAATGAATGGTCTCAACCCACTCTTAAACCCCATTTTCAATGCATGACAACAGATTTACATTCTTAGGAATCTTCTTTTACCTTCACTAAGTGCATCCTTTGAAATATTAATCACCACATATGTTCCTGGATTACTAGACCTTAATTCATTAGCATAAGCCTCAAGCTTGTTGTACTCATCTGCAAAACTACCCTCCATTTTCTCCAATATCATTCTCTTGGCTCTCTTATACTTTGAATGACTAACATTGATGTTAAATGCAGCTTTTACACTTTCCATCATCTCCTTAATTTTAATCTAAGGATTATCTTGAAGCCCTCTCTTAAAGTAAGCAGCTATAGTTTTTGCATTCACCCTATGGTTATCATATGCAGTATTACACTTATGTTCTTCCTTTAATGTCTTGAATTTAACACCAGGACCTTTAGAGTCTTTAGAAATATGACAGACAAGGGGCAATCTTCATCTAGACATCTGTACCTAAGCTTTTGGGGGCAACTCTTAAATTGTTTTAACCCATAACCATTAGCAAGAGAATATAGGTTGATGAATTTTCTAGCTTCTGGAATGTCTTTGAATGTCATGGACTTGTGTAACTCCTTATACTCAGACAATTTATCAGATATCTTCCTCTCTTTTTGTGTATGCAGTAGTTCTAATGAATCAGATTCATTGTCAGAATTTTCTGAAGAATCAGAAGATTGACAGCCATGTTCTTCACTGTCATCTGAACTACAGTCAGTAGCAGCATCAAGTTCTATTATGTTTGACTCAATGTGCTGGGCTATATTATGAACATTAATACTTAACTCACACTCATCTACAGCAAAGAAGTCAATAATATTAAACTGATCACTAACCAAAGATAGTAGAGTCCTAACACCTTCATCACTTTCTATTTCATAATATCTACCACTAGGCCCATTCACAATTACTTGTTGAACTCCAATAAACCCCAACTTAGAAGTAAATTCATTTACTAAATAGTTATAAGGCAATTGGTCAGAGTTAAAACCTTTAATAGTGTGCACAAGCTTCCTTGAGTATAAGACTTGTGGATTATATATCCAATCACCACCATAATGAAAGATTAGATCCAATAAGACCATTGCATATAAGCTGCAGAATAAGAAAGGGAAAAAATTAACAAAAAAGTAACATTACAACCTATATAATATGCTGACAAAGTGGAGGATAGAATAAAGGCATAAAGTGAATACAAAGATACATAAACAACAAAAAAATAGTGGGCTGCCACACATGAAGACAAAACAAAGAGATGATGTGGGACTAAGTATATAAACAAAACAAAAACAAAAAAAAATAAGAATCTGACCCACTTGTCTCTTAACTCAACATAATTGTATAAGAAATAGGGGACCAAACACCCAAAATAAGAGCATCAAAGGAACAGATCCAACACAAAGAGGGACCCCTTTTCTGTCAAATACCATATATGTAGGACCACAAAAATTGAAACCCTAAATCGGAACAAAAAGAAAATACCAGATAGGGATGATTCCAATACAAAATACAAACCCTAAACCACCAGTAATAAAGACCAAAAAAGGAAAATAAATTTAGTATGAATAGACCACATGCAAACAAAAACAACCAAAATCAGACACACCTTCTAACTAAAAAAATACATATTTACATGAATCAGTCAAAACTCTAGTCAAAGAAACAAAAAATCAAAACTAAATGCAATGATATGCTTCCGTCCATACCAAAAACAAACCAAAGAAATGACGATTTACTAAATTTAACAAGGAAATAGGTACCTTCGTATGCATCCACGATGAAGACGATGAAGACAATTTTTACAGTGAAGAGAGAAGGTGAGAGATTTTTCTGAAAATGAAGGTGAAAGGTTTTGACGGGTTGGTATTGATTTTAGGGGGAATTATTATAAAATGGGGCGGGTTATTATATGGGGCAGGTTAAAAAAGTCTAGTTGGCAATATATTGATTGGTTGGCACATTATTATGGGGACCTAGTTGCCACGTAGGAGATCCGTTAGATTTAAGTACAAATACTCCTACTTTAATAATGGCAGGTATTATTTTAGCCGAAAAGTAGAACGGGGTATTAACGTGGATAATTTTCAATAGTAGAGGTACAATTTTGGCCCTTTTCCCTAATTTAAATGAAGACGTGGAAGAGTGACGATCCTGTTGACTGATTAGTTTTTTAAAACCGACCTCAAATTAAAACTAATAAATTAAAGTAGTCAAAAGGCAAAACGATATTTGATTATATGGCCTAAACGTTTTTTTTTTTTAATATGGCCTAAACATCAAATCTAAGATAATTCCATCTTATCTGCAGAACTTTATAAAATTAGATTTCTAATTCTATATGTTATCATGAAAGTCTACACGACGGTCGACGTTTACTTTTCCAATTTTGACGTTCATATACATGTCAAATGCGACGAATTCAGACATTATTTTGAGTGGCCAAATATAAATATTATAACTATAGAAGTATTCAAACAGTTTTGCAAATAGATATATAGATCTTAAGTTGACATATAGATCGTATTTGCAAAGGACCTTAAGTTGACATATAGATCGTATTTGCAAATATTGAAGTCCATGTTTTTCTTATAATTTTGTTTTATGTCAACTTCAACTTGAATTTTGAAATACCAAATTTGAAAACGAAAAATTAGTTTAAAGAGTATTATAAGTGAAATAATGATTGATAAAACTTTAATACTTTTTGAAGTGATATTTATATCCAAACACAATTTCTAATTTTCATATACTCCTTTTAAAGTTCAACTTCAAATACTCAATTTTTCAACTTCAACAAAATATATTATAGTAAAGCCTCAAAAGTTAGGGCAAGAGCTACAATAATAACTATAGTTTTAAAGGAATTCAGTAACTTTTGCTTAGATCTTGTATTTGAAAAATTTATTAAATATTGATACACATTTAATTGCAAACTCATAACTTAAACGAGCTATAAATTTGATGACAAATTCAGAATTTATATCCATGTAATGCATAAGTTGGAGAGAAGAGCTAGCTCTTAATTTTTATTCTTGAATCATTTAGTCTTACTAGAAGACGTTCCATTTTTTGTAGGAAAGTAATTTAGGACGGTTGCAAATTTTATTAAATTAATATAAACATACACATGTAAATCATCTAAATCGAAGACGGTGAGTACTGTTGTCGTAATATATACTAGACTAGATCCCCACATGATTCAGTAAGAGATCAATCATCTAGTTAATTGTTATAGTACGTATTATATGCACAACTGGCAAGTACCACTAATAAAAATGGATCTGTATTTTTAAAAAAAATAAAAAGATCAATTATTTCATTAGGGACATCATATATTCAAAAGATATTGAGTAGCATCATTTACCATCCACCTTACAGATTGTTTGGATGGTTGTTACCGGTTGTATTATATCATATCGTTACTTTAAATACTATGTTTGGTTTGATTGTTACTAAATTTTATTGTGTCGCATCGTTAAATCCGTTGTCATGTAATGACGAAAATTGATATTTTATGGAACAACCGATTTGATGTGGTCACGTCGTTATCTTATTTTTTTCTCTCATCTTGTCCTTCCTTATTATTAAATAATCTTACCCAACCTTTTTATATAATAATTTTATCTCGTAACTTACTTTTTCTTTATAATATTGCAAGTTTATTTTTCATATTGTTAGTACATTACATCATGAAATGACGGTAAACAATACATTTTATCCAAACATCTTAAACATCAGAACGATACTGTACAATATAATATTATACGATACGATACATTATAAAACAATATTTAACAACCATCCAAACAAGCTGTAAACTTTGACTCCCAAAACACTTTATGTGCCAAAGAAATACAAATTTATCTGAGTTATGAGCAACAATATTAAACATATTAGGAATATGTACACAATCAACATGATCTAAAGTAGAAGAAGATATGTGTCATATATCTTCACAAGCAACATCTACTTCATACGAGACTTGTTTGTTTTTCTTTTAACATGTTCATCTTGCCTTTCGTGTATGATAGTATCTTGGTTATCCTCCGACTATTGCGATCAGAAGTGAACCTATGTATAATTGTATACGGTTAAAACCGGGCCTACCCGATTTTATTGATTAGTCGAGATTAGGGGGATGGATCGAGGATCAGCCCTATAGCATATCAGACCGAGACGTGAGGATAAAATACCGAGTTCGGGATTCGAGATACTTGTCGAGGTCGAGACCAGTAATGATCGAGGTCAAACGGGATAGACATCGAGCAAGACCGAAGATAGCATAATAACGAAAAGGCGGGATATCCGTGACTGGTCGGAGATCATAGCGGAAATCTTGGAACAGATCAAATCAAGGACAGTTGTTTAGCTGATCATGGAATTTCCTTATGTAATTAGAATTATACCGTAAATAGGTTTTTTGTACTATATAACTAGGGTCTTAACCATTTGTAATCATCTTATATTCACACATATCAAAGCAATATATCATACTTTTATCTCTTGCAGCTCTATTGTCCATTTCATACTTTCAATAGCTGTTCAGTTGGTTCGAGGGCAATTAGCTCAAGGACCATAAATGTTCATCATATTGGTTTGCTTTGTTTTACTGTTAATTCCTAGCATTAATTCTTATATTTATCAGTTTGTGCCAAGTGAAATCACATATCCTTAAAACCACTTATAAGTTTAATTGTTATCTGATTTTTAGGGTAAATAGTTTGCTGCCCACCGTGGGGCTAAGGATAATAGTGATTGCCTAGTACAATTTTTGTAACACGCATTATTTTACGCTCGTTCTTCGAAGTATATTTGATTTTAGGATCAACATGTCAAACTCCCAAGTATCACCCACACACATAGACAACGACTTTGGTCTTCATGGCGAGAACGAAAATATAGCCTCCCCAGGAAACGGAGTACCTCTAGTTAACCCCGATGGAGCTCCAACCGTGGACCCAATCGACGTCAGCTCCCATATTGCCATTAGTGGGAATTTAGGCGTCGACCCGAAGAATAACATCAACAGAGATGCTCGAACAACCGATCAGAATGCACAATGCGGTGAAAAAAGTGGAATTAGCCTTCGAATGATATTCGAGATGTTGCAGACTCAGCAAGCTTCAATAGCACAACTGCAAAATCAGAATCGTGCACCAAGCAGGATCGATCTCAAGCCATCACAAGAAGTTGTTCATAGAGTCGAATCGGTGCCAAAGAGATCGAATTAAGGAGAATTAGAGACTAATCCCGCTATCATAAAAATGCTCGAGGAACTGGCAAAGCAAATCGAGAAAGGGGAAAAGAAGATCGAGAAAAATGATAAGAAGGTGGAAACTTATAACTCTAGGGTCGAC